AATGACTACGTTAAGGTGACCGTAAAGGCGGAGTACGATGAAAAGGCAGCCCATTAGAAATCAAGGTAGGGGTGGATCAGTGGTGAAGAGATGAAGGGAAAACCATGAGAAATGGCCCAAAACCCGAGAAATGGAACCCCTTCTTGCCCGTTGATTCCCGCATTGATGCGACTTTCATAGCCGCCCTATTCGACGCTAACACTCCTTGTTAAACGGCTCGAGTCAGACGGCGGGTCGTGTGGACGAGCCGCCGCGCTGAAGGCGGGAATATGGCCCTGCTAGGCCGCAGGGGTATACTCCTCGCTGCGGAACGCTCATCGTCCCTCGCACCCTTAGGAGACCCGCCTGCCTTTCGATTAGGTAAATTTCTCCTTCTTCGACCTCCGACGTTCTATTCACCATGGCCGAAACTATCCTCTAACCAGAATCCAATTTGCGAAATTTTCATGAGTACAGCTAGGTAGGACTTAGAAACACGCGAGGTGTGATGTTGTGGCGTACCGCAGGCTATAGAACTCCCTTGTTTCTCTGCCTTATCTGGCCGCCTACCTGACACACTCTAGGCGAGTTCAGGACTACATCCAGCAATGCACTTTGATTACAGGTACTCCTAAAGCTCGAAAACAGTGCCACCGTCCAACTTATGCCGCACTGCCAACAAAGGACGAGACTAACCGAGAAGGAGAGCAGCTAATGCAGGTACAATTCAGGATAATCACTGCAGTGGGCGTTACACTAGAGGTTGTGAAGACGATGGCTGAGTGGTGAGATAACTCGGAGGCACTGCTGGAAGAACGTTGGGGAGGCACTCCAACCACACCTACCTATTCTCTGGGAGAAGTGGTGGGCCGCCTTTCGGCGCCAATCCACCAATGATGTCGCCAAATCTACTCCACCTCCCAGCCATCGTTTTTCAGGATTGCCGTGAAAAACCGCCTGACATTGTGCAGCAGCAGTGCGGATTGTACTTAAGACAATAAGCATCAAAGTTTAAAGTTAACGGCAGTTCAAAGTATTAAGAAGAGTTCCCCCGCCGTGAACCGTACTTGGTTTCCGCTCTCAATCAGCCAACTGCTGGCGAAGGAGGTGGCTAAGGGAGCTAGACATCTTCCCTGCAAGAATAGTTTTAGCGCTTATGCAAAACCCTTACCATCTTTGAATTTCAAAAGACAACGTTTCTCATTCTATCTAAACGTATGGATTTCATCTGGTGAACCCTATGAACTTCGGCTCCCTTGGACCTTTTCAGGAATGTAATTTTCAGCTAACAAAAAAATCAATAAACATATGCAATAAACAACAACAATTCTGCGGTTCCTCTTCAAATCTCTCGTAATCGCCTCCGTATCATATAGCCTGTTAAGGGTCTCGAGCAGTAATCTCGATCCCAGTGGCATTAATTGTTGTGATACTACTCGGCTACATGGCCGTCGGTGCTGTATTGCTAGGATCGTGGGAAAACTGGCAGTTCTTCTCTGGCTTCTACTTCTCTTTTATAACAATGACAACAGTGAGTTTACGTCTTCACAGACATCACTTCTGCTTTTTCACTTACCACATACTCATCAACTTCCTTCAATAAAACCACCATAAAAGTAAACATTCGGAACAATTAAGGAATCCAGTCTAGTGAATCATGTACCCTCGAAAAGCCTACCTTCCAAATGCGAGAGTAATAATGAGACGCTACATTTGGGTGCGGAACTTTGTAGAGTAGTTCTGTAGACAGCCTTGTTTGGCACTGACTTTCGGTAGGATTACTCTCTTCCAAAGTTTCTCAAAAAGAGGTAAGAATACCGAAACGCACACGAGTCTGACTTTCCTTGGAACCCTAATTTACATATTTGATTATTTTCGATGAAAAAAAAATATGTGGCTCATCTCTGAAAACTTTAAACAGTGGTGTCTTATTGCAACTGTCCATTTATTTTTGTGATTTTGCTTCCGAAAACGAAATTACCGTGATTTTTTTTCAGGTCGGCTTTGGTGACATTGTGCCACTCAACCGAGAGTTCTATCTACTTGACCTGTGCTATATTATCATTGGACTCGCCATAACGTAAGGAATGCCTTTATTTGGCTACTCCTTTCTATTAACTCAATTGATTTCTGCAGGACCATGTGATCGATCTAGTTGGCATACCATATATTCGAACGATTCCACTACTTTGGAGAGCACAAAGGTGTTGTGTGCAAGGGTATAGCTGGTGTGGACTCTGGTAGAGCCGAACGGTCATTGTTTGTGATTCATCAGTTTGGAATAGTTCCACAAGGGGCGCACTCTGTACTTCAAATGACAAGGAGGAAAAGTAAGGGTTTGTAATATTGGAGGAAATGGGAAGAGTATTGAAGCTTGGGAAATTCTAAAAGACCTTGAAAATTCTGCATTTCTCTGCCGCTTCACAGTTTTTCCCTCCTTCAAGCGGCGATTTTTTCGGAGCTTCCTAGAGACGGAAGAGCATTTCAAAAAGAGTTTGGAGAGGAGTCCAAAACCCTCAATGAAAGATACCCGCTTCTTATGAAGAAAAGATTGCGCCTTGCGCGTAATAAAACTATTCTTACTATAAAATCAACAGGAGTTATGGTTAGTGAACCAAAGGATACCGATGAACCGCGGTACCGTTTTAGGGAATCGCAAAAATGATAAAACTNGAGTCAAAAATAAATGAAGAGAGAATAATAAATTGAAAAGCTACGAGATTAAATGTTTAGGATGCTCGATTCGCTCTAGTGAATGTCGGCGGTAAAATGGTCCATGTACCGGATTTGATGCGATATGCGAGTGTTTTGCAGCAGGTAAACTAGCCATTTACATTCGATTTTACGAAAGGTCTGAACTGAAAAATGTTCTGTATATCGAGACCAACATAATGCTTCTTGTCTTGCATATCACTTACATATAGCAAATTAAATGATTTTCCAGAAATACGGTCACAAGAAGCCACATGACACCGTAATTGTTAAAAGGAGCTTACGCACCCAAAGATATAAACAAAATAGTGAATTACATACGTATGAGGATGTGACCTAGTGGTCCAAAGCCATGATGAAGGGGTGTCACTTCGACGACCACGGTCTGGAGGCCGAATTTTCACAGAGCCAACTAGACCATCCGTCTCTCTGGGGGAGGGGACAGTTGATTAAAGGACGCACGCTGGAAAGGCAACCCATTTCAAATTACCTTAGCGATGGTGAGTGGTACACCAAAGAAGGAAATACCATGAGAAACGGCCCAGAACCCGAGAAATGGGACCCCTTCATTGCCCGTTGATTTGAGCATTGATGCTACTATCATCGCTGTGCCCTCTTCAACGCTACGCTCTCTCACCTATCTAATCACTCACCACGTATAGACCTGCGGCGAGTGATCAGATGATCGGTGGGCGTGCACTGACCAGCCGCGGCGGGATTAAACCTTAATAGGTCAACGAGGTCAACTCCTCCTGTGCAAATTGTGCTTCAGTTCGCACACTTAGGAGCTCCGCGGGTCCCTCAACCAGGTGAATTCTTCCTAATTCGATTTTCCCTCTGATCGTGAATTCGTCCTTTAACAATCGGGGCCCCGTTACGATTGCTGAATGAAGAAGAATTATAGAAACACCAATAAAGGCATATAACGACGAGTAAAGTTCTTTTTTTCGTTGGAAGAAGAAAGTTGCCTTTTTGTCCTTCAGACTTGCAAATTGTCCGTTCATTCAGATTGCGAGAGGGTAAAGGTGCAGGATTCTCGGATAGAGGTCATATTCGGCCCGTGTGAGGCGTGAAAAATTTGCAGCAGTAGTTGAAAGAGATTTAGAAAATTCATTAGAATTTTCGCAGTTTTCAAACTATACGAATTCTTGAACCAGGAAAATTTTATTGTGACTGTGATATTGCATATAATCTGTCACTGGCTTTTCCTTTCTTTTCCTTGCCTCCCCCCCCCCCTTGACGGGCATTTTCCCGGCAGTTCAATTGGGAGAGAGGTAAGACCTGAAGACGTGAGCGCGTGTGGAATGACTTTAGCTAGCACGACCCCTTTAGCTAAGGAATTTTGAGAGCATTCTCACAACACTCAGATAATGGGGGTTGTAGCCTGCCCTGATTCATGCGTATCTAGTTGTTGTGCAATTTACCTCTAGAGTAAAAGAGTTTAATGAAAATGTGTGATCATTTAGATTCATCGACTATGGAGCATTGGCCTCTGTGGAGAGTTTCCAGACCATATTTTCTAATATGCTCAGTTCGAAATCGAAAGAACCTGCAGTGGTGTAATCAAATTGATGATTAATTTTAGTCGAAATGCTAGTGGCAAACGCTTTGAAGTGTACATAGATAAATATCAACCTATGCATGAACTTCATCAAGGGAGGTACAGGCTCACGGAACGTTTGACGATTACAAGCCATAAAAGCTGCTGGCGCTTCTTCCGCCCTCTCAGAACTTCCTATTCGGTGAACTCCTGGCTTACAGGGAGTTCAGTTTCCATGTCCTGAGCGTAGATGAGTTTTTGCTAGAGAGCATTCATAGTTCGAGCTACCGTGGAATATAAGGATTGCAAAACTATAAAAATTAGAGACGTACCGATTCTGTGGTCGCAGGGCCATGTGTCGCCGAGACACATGGCCTTGCGACGATCGACAGTGCGCGCAATCTCCAAAAATCGGGCCTACTGGTGACTAATTCCCTGGTCTTCGCGCTTTCCACGCATTTAATACATTCTACGGTGGTGCACGGTATGAACCGTGCATGTGAGGGGTGACTGGAAAAGATGCTTTTGCAAACCAGCTGTGTGTCGCTGAGAAGTGCCAGCCAGGTTCTGAGAAGACTGTAGCCACCTCTGTGTATGTAGTTGAGATTGTTACTAGAACTGTCAGATAGTTCTCTTCACCATCTCGATGTGTCTCATATTCTCTGTCAGTACGTGTAATTGTATGAGCTATTTAGGTGTAAAATGGTGGGGTGGTATGCTCAAAAAGGAATACTGAGATGCGCAATGTACAGGTGCGGCCTTACTTTGCGACTGTCTGCTGCAGTTCGTGTGGAGTAGATACGTACGATCAATCATACGATCGCAAGATCGCATGATTGATGCGTACCTTCTATTTCGGAAGACGAGAAGAGCGTCGAGTGCAGACCACACACCACAAGTGACGACGGCCGAAAAAGTGGCTTTTTTCTTGGCCGTCGTCACTTGTGGTGTGTGGTCTGCACTCGATACCCTTCCTGTCCTCCAAAATAGAGTGCATGTCTCTCACACTGGACCGCACCCTATACAGTAGCTATTGAAGCCTTTACCTCTTCATATTTTTGCATATTCGCTCTCACTTCTCTTTCGGTCCCTACGACTAACCATAACCATGGGCGGTGAAGGGATCTCAGGAAAGGCTCCCAGGTCGCCATGGCCATTCAAGAAGAGATGTATACCGCTAGATGTGCCTTTGAACGCTGATCTCAAATCTACCTTCCAAATCTGCTAAACGATTCTCTGAACGGAGTTATGAAGCAAAACAGCGCACGGTAGTGGTCGGGACTCACAGTCAAAACGTCGTAGGATCGGTCCTTATCGTGTCTACTGTTTTCCATTCTTCAGGAATACAGCTAAACGCTTTTAATAGCTTAGTTAACTGAATTCCTGAAGAATGCAAAACAGTAATCACGATAAGGGGCAAATGAGACCGGTCCTACGACGTTTTGACTGTGAGTCCCGACCACTACCGTTGCGCTGTTTTGCTCCATAACTCCGTTACAGAGAAGCGTTTAGCAGATTTGGAAGGTAGATTCGAGATCAGCGTTCAAAGGCACATCTAGCGATAGACATTTCTTCTCGAATGGCCATGACAACCTGGGAGCGTTTCCTTGTCAGTGAATTGGGACGCTCATATCTCAGATTTCTCCTCTACGATCAATAAGCTCAAAGACGTGAATGCGTACATCTACTCATGCAACCAATTTCCAGTACTCGAGCTATCATCGATTTTTTGGACGTATTGTATTCATTATGAATATTCTTAACTTAATGCTTATGAAGGCTTTTGAGTCAAGTCCCCTTAGCTCTACATTTCGAAATTGTCACGCCTACAGTTAGTTAAGTTTGCCATAAAGATTGAAAAAGCTTCTTGAAATCACTAAAATTCTAGTACCAAATATTTGGTTCAGCAAGTAATGAGGCATGTGGTCTATAATGCCTCAAAGCTGTTGACTGTATTGGATTGCAACGCCGACAATAAACTCACTTGACTTATGGGTAGCTTAAAAGAAAAGCCGCGTGACAGCGAGAAATGCAAGGCGGCAAGGGTCAGCGCACGCGTTGCAGAGTACCTGCGATTTTGCGGGGTCTGTCGTTATTTAGTTGGTATATTTTTTTAATGGAATACTTCATAGGAAGTTCCACATAACCGATTCTATGGCGTAAGCCCAAAAATGCGATATCTGCTTAGTCGATTCGCCATTACAAATACAGATTTAAAGGCAGCGATTACGATAAAGAGGAAGCGCATCGGGAAAACATGTGCGTCACATGAAGGTTACCTGCTGGCCAAAAAGCGAGATGTTCGCTTTCACGACGAGGTGGGTGGTTGCTGTGAGCAGGACTCGAAAACTCCGCTCCCAAAAGCGATCCACCACTAGCTTCGTTGTGATTTGGCGCGCTGGTTGCTGTGGCAGGACGTCGAAAGCACTCCGCCTCCAAAAGCGATCGCACGTATTCCCACATTTTTACTCAATTGGTTGATGTTGGGACGATGCTTTGTTTTCTTTGTTGCTTGCATTGCTTTGTTTGTGTGCTTTTTATCGCAGTCGACTGGTATTATTGAGCGTCGGTTCGCGCATGGTGCACGAACGCCTTGCGGTGCAATGTTCAACGTCTGCTTTCCTGAGGGCGTTCCAGTCTATGAGTAACAAAAGGCCAGAACGGAGTCCATGTTTTGCGTTTGCTTGAGCCGATTCTCAGACTTTTGCCACTGACGTAACTAAGCACACCCTCTATTTGTAACCTTGCCTTAAATTATCGTAATGCTAGGGTAGAACAAAGCACGTTGTCAGGCTGGAAATGTTTTTGAAAGTAGTCTCACTATACAGCGTTGCAGCCTCGAAAGAAGGAAAGCTCGACTGCACTAACTAGAAATTCCGAAGCGGTTAATTGTAGAAATTACTAATGAACAAAACGAGAAATGTATTACTTTGTAATAGATTTCATCAAAAGATTTATTACAAACTAGAAAGGTGGTCACTACTCATGCATAATAGTAAAAACAAAAAGATCAAATCAATAAGAGAATTATGGCTACAGTAACTACACTAGCCCCTAGCATTTAAGACGAATTTAATTCTAGTGTTACGGTTCCTCAAAAAAAAAATGAATTATAGTAAAGTTTTCAATTTGAATTAATGAAAATAAGTACAATTGCCTTTTTGAAGAAGATAACTACGACGATTAGCAAAATAGTAATTCCGTACAAGAGCTGGAATTGAGTGTGCTAGTGACAAGTAGAATGGAGCTATGCTCCGGCTAGGTGCAAGTTGGAAGAAGAAGAAAGAGAAGAAAGAGGCATCGTGGCGCAATTGCTCGTCCCAGCAACAGTAACCCGTTTTTTTACAGGCAAGGAAGCTCTGATGTTGAGGTAAGTGGACCAATTTGTTTGCCAGGAAGTATAGTGAGGATGAAAATGACTATGTATGTCATGTTTTGAATGCATTAGGTGCTTGCGCCATGATGCCCCCCACCTACCATATTTGAAGTAGAAAAAAATAAAAGTTAGAACCCGAGACTAAGGCGTCATTATGCGAATTACTACGAAGATTTAAGAAAACAATATCTGTTACGGAAGAAAACGTAAATATAGAGAGGTACTAAACGTGACACTACTGTACAACATGGAGTCCAGGCGAACGTAGAACTGGGAGTGGTTATTTAGGAGAATGAAGTTGAGGTTTGAGGTAGTTCTTGAGTAACATAACAGGCCTCATTTCGCACTCTTTCAGATTCACAATAAACACCTAGAATGAAGGAAGCGATTGCGTGGCATTTTCAAAAACTTTGCTCCTACTCCT